AATTGATTAGAAATTATACTATTAAAAGTTATTAGAATTACTTTAATAAGCATAAACTAATACTCTCTCTCCCCCTTTAAAATTTATGTACATTCCAATCACTTAGCTAAATAATTTTATTTCTGAAAAATTGTTCTAACTTTAATAATATCATTTTCTTAATCTTTCTAGTTTAGGAATGGGGATAATGAAGATACATTTTAAAGAAGTAGAGAAATTATAATCATGAAATATTCATGTTAATTATGTGGGATATAGAAGTACTGAAGTTATAGAGAAGTTTCTCATAGAACTTTTCATAAATTTTATTATCAAGCTTGGCTTTTTCCAAAATTTCATTGAATAATAGTTATAATTTTCTTAATCTCAAGAGATAAGCTCAGAAGATACATGTCATCTATACTAATTTTATTGTATTAAAATTGAGTATGTTTCGAGTAAATATTATTTGGTAGAAATAAATAAATTTTTACAAAAATATGTCGCTTTCAATCTTAAAAATTAAATATATCTTTGTTAAATTTCTACGTTTAGTTATGATGTTTATTTTAGAAAATTTAGTCTTCTTGTAAGTATCCTAAACTTATTGTTACTTTCAATTTTTTTAAACTAAAAGATTTCTTCATAGTTAAGGACAGTTTAGGATTAGTCCATGAAATCTTTTCAAAATTCAAGTAGAATTCTAATTGTTATTTCGGAGATATTTTTTATATATCGTTTAAACTAATCAATAACCTCTTGTTTCCTTCTAAAGATATTATTAGAAACATTATTACCCATCCATAACGTAACTCATTTGCATTTTTAATTCCGTAGGGAATATTTCTATTAGTCATGTCCCAAGCATCAACTTACTTTAAGAAAATTTTGATTTTGCACCTAAGCAACTATATACTGAAATGACTTATTTACAAACAAAAGGAGGTTATTGGAATGATTTTGAGGAATAACTACGAGTATAATGTAAGAAAAAAACGAGATCTAATTAGTGTTGCTAAGTCATGATCCCATCATTCAATTAGCACCCTACTCCTTTGCGACTATTAATGTATTAAATTGCAGTTTCGTTAAGAATTAATTATTCAAAAAGATATTGGTTGGTGATTCTTATCTTTCAATCTAATACACAACATCATTAAGATTCTCGATGATCACTAACTAATGTCCTATAAAGGTTTTCATGTTACAGGTTTTGATATTTTACAACTCATCCCACAACTACCATTAAAAAATTAGGACTCTACTAGAGCTTTGCGCCTATTGATCTACTCCTAATTTTCTGATATGGAATATTCAAGTTCAAATGCTATTTTAGAATATTTATATAATTAGGTTATTAAATTATACCTATTAAAATTCAAAGAAAGAGTTATGATATTTAAAAATAAAATAGAATTATTTAAGAATTTGTTAAAGAAAACATAACTAAAGAATTTATCAAAAACATTTACATCTTTATTGCTCAAAATCACGTTAGACAATTAAAAATCTTATAGAATAAATTATAATCCTTATCTATTGGAAGCACAAAGTTAAAATCATATAAAACAAAAATAATTAATAGATTGAAAAGATCTAAAATCCCTTTTCTTCATATATATATATATATAATAGATGAGACGGGCAGGTACCAATTCCATCAAAAATCAAAATAAATTTCAAGGGCGTAATCCTAGCCGCTTATTTGGAAATAAAAGTCATTTTTGGATGGAAGAAGAAATTAGAAAACTATAATACGACTAACTATTTGTGGTCCTATCACCAATCTTTCATAACTTGACAATTTAAAGCCTCAATTATTGAATATATAATGCCCTAAGTTCACATTTCAAAGAACAATAGACGAGCTTTCACATCCCTTCAAGCTGAAAACACAAAGAATATCCCAATTTTCATCTTAAGATGATACCATGCTTTTAAGGAAATATTTTGATTCTATTTTATCTTTTTATTTTTAGGGACATATGCGTAATTTGTAACTAATCTATTGGGACTTGAAATTTGATTTTAAAAAATTTTAATATGACAAAATAATAATTAAAAACAATATAAGTATGATACATATTAGTGTAACTTAAAATTTATTTTGATGTATAAAAAAATGTAAAATATGAACAATAATCTTGTCCAAAATTGGTAACTCCACATTTTTTTTAGGACCTCCGATTGAGGAAAAACTTTTTTCCTCTCTCGCATTTTTGACCAAACTATATATATGGCATATCCATCAACCCAAATTTAAACAACCATGTTTTATGTTGAAGGAATATTAAATTAAGGAAATGACACAAACTTTTGGAAAAATTAAGTAAATAATAGGAGAGTAGTAAATCAAATTTTGTATGCATGTAGATTGGAATCCAATATTACTTAGTATTTTAGAACGGCAGGCAGTTCACCACTAACAAAGCATTAAGATATAATGATAAATTAATAATTTCAACAAAAACCATAAGCTCCAAAATAATGTGAGAAAAAAAGTTGGTGAGCTTTACAGCTCTAAAACTAGCATCACCTTAGTACAGGTCCATTTTGATCAAAGCCTATTTGCTACGACTTAAAAAACTTCTACAAACACCTCCTACTCGACCATATACACAAAACACACCCCCCCACCGTTCAAGGTTTCAACTGCAGCTTCCCCAAAACCAGAAAATTAATAATAATTAATAATAACCAACTTGGTGAAAATGGTTGGCAAAACCCAAAATTTGCCCAAAAACTAAAAATTACTTGGTACCAGGACGGAGAGTAGAATCTTTTTTTTATTTATGATTACAAGGTTTTATGATAATTAGTTTTTAGAATTTAAAAGGTCGGAACGATGCCGAATCCGTAGATACTGTTGCGATCGGCGTCGACTTCGATGTCGGTTCGCTTGGCGAACCTTCCCTTGATGCGCGGCCTCATCTCGGCATACGCTTTTCGTGATGCGTACCGTATCGTCTTCTCGAACTTGCGATTCTTTCTTTTCTCTCTGTACCTCAACACCCTCGCTTCTCTGTCGGCTGATGAAAGCTGCGCCGCCGTCTGATTTCCTGACTCCGCTCCCCTACTGTACGGATTTGTTATGTCAGCCATTGATCCTCCATCTGGCACCACGCCAACATCCACCGACGATGAAGACACCTGTGCCGCCAACCACACAATCACTTCTCCTCTCACTTTAAAACTATATGCTTCTCTTTTTGTGGTAACAGTTATTTTCAAATCAAATAATATTTTAATCGGAGCTGATTATTTTCTTGTGTTTTACTTAATTTTCTGACCAACCAAACAATTTCTTAATTAGTTAGCGTAAGAAGTAAAAAGGGGAGAAGAGAGCTTACACTGTGACTGAGAGAGTGACCGTTGTACCCGTAAGGAAAATATTTGGAGGCGCCAAAATCCAGGTCGAAGCAGTGCTCGTTCACCAATGGAGCCTGCACGCTCCTGCTCTGCACCGGAACCACTCCATCTGTGCCGGAACTGTTCTGTTCTTGGGCCTCCAGTTTCGGATCAACCGGCCCGTAATCAAGATCCAGATACGGATCCATGTCTGAGAACATGAATTGACCAGTATTCAGGTCAGGGCTCGCCGCCACTGCCTTCGAGTTCGGGTTCGGCAGAAGCCACGATGCTGCCTCAGCCTCCTCCCTGCTGACGTCAGCGTCGCCGTCGACGTCGGAGAAGTAGCGATCGTCCAGGAAGTTGACGGCAGTTGCTGCAGCGTTGGGCTTGACTGCTCCGGGAGCTGAGGCAACGGAGTCATAGAAGGGGGTGACGGGAACGCGCTCGTGCCTTCTGGCTAGCGGGTTTGCGGAGTGGATATCACGGTCGCAGGTGACGCAAAGGGCGGCGGCGTCGGCTTTACAGGTGACATGAGCCGGCGCCTGCTCGCAGACCTCGCACACCCACACCCTCGCGTGGCGGGAAGCGAGCTTGTTCGCAGCATGAACCTTGGAGTCGCAATTGACGCATAGAAATGCTGAATCAGCCCGGCAGAAGAGAGTTGCCGTCGCCGATTTGCAGGAGTCGCACAACTTGGACGCCATTTTCTGAATTCACGGCGTAATTTGTAAGATGTTTTTTTCCCTTTTCCCGCTCCGTCTCTTAATTTCTGTAACTAGAACTGTGCAGACAATAATACAGTTTCTCTTTCTCTCTGTATAGCTTTGATGGTTGGGGAGGCAGCAGTGGAGATGTGTGTCAAGGGGTCTATCTAGTGGGGCCAGGGAGATCTGTGAGGTGACCAATGAGAAGAGTACACGTGGATGAACCTTAGCCAAAAATGGGGATTTTATGAGGGACTGAGAAGTTGGCCATCTCGCAGAAGGGCCCCACGGGTTTTATTTATTAAAAAAAAAGGGGAGTTATCAAATTATAGAGAAGGGTGGGGTCCACATGGAAAAGGTCAGAGCCGAAGGGGGTTGCATTGCATTTTGTCGTGAGTGAGAAAGGAAGAAGATGTGATGGTGGTGGGTGGGGACCACAAGATGCTCGAGTGCACAAGTTGGCGTTCCAGATAAGATCCCAGAAGAGAGAGCTCTTCGCTTATTAAAATTAATATTTAATTATTAAATATGTTTTTTATTCAAGTCTTATATTTTTTCCACCTTTTTTAAAAATTTAATTTCGATCTAAACTAATTTACTTATATTTTAATTTAATTCATATTAAACATAATTTTTTTATTTTAATCTTTCTTTAGCAAAGTTTAAAAAATGACGTTTGAGACGCCTCCGGTTTAATGTTGAGTATTTTAAGAATATTTTTTATAAAAATCAGAATCAAAATCTACAATTTATATATTTAAACAAAAAAGTAGAATCTATAGCTTCTTAAAAAATAATTTTTTGTATTTGATAAAAATTTAAAAATTATTTCTATTAAATATATATTTTCTGTTTTTTAAATAATAACACTTTTTAACCAATTTTATTAAATATCAAGTAATTTTTAATTAAAATTATTATTGCTGAAAAATTATTTTAATAGTATTTTTAAAATTTACAATATAAAATATAGTCATTATAAAAACTCCTTAAATATTGATTTTATTTATTTTGATATTTTCTCGGTTTTACAATTAGATTACTTAAAGAAACATGTTTCTTATCTATTTTAATTAGCACTAACATATTATGTTAGCTTATTTAAAATTTGACTAAGTTCTTAGTCTTGTAAGATGTTCAATTTCAAGTGTGAGAAAAATATATTTTGCCATAAGAATATGATATTTTGTAATATCCTGAGCCTAAAATTTTATTAAAAATATTTAATTTTAATCTTTTAATTTTTTTTTTTGAAATACATGAATTTTGGATATATTTGAAAATAATTTCAAAAAGAATGGGCTAAACTGGAATATAAAAGAAAAAATAAAAGTAAGGGTCAAATCGCAAAAAAATGAAGAAAAACGGTCACGTCAGCAGCACGGCCAATTGCTGTGCGCTACGTGGCAGACACGCCAGCACGTGTTTTACGTGGGAAGTCACGCGAGTAATCCGCGTAATAAGCTGATCGAACAGTTCAGGGCCTCTTCTGCACGCACGAATGACCCAGATTAATTCCCTGGATAAGTACGATCGAACGGTCTGTGTACCTTCAATCAAATGGTCCGAATTTATTTCTTGAATAAGTGGGATTTGACAGCTAAGGTTGGTCTACGTGGGCCCGAATGGACGGCTCAGATCGAGAGGAGGGGAGTATTTAAACATTGCTTCGGACGACCCCCAAAACCCTTGCCGCACATTTGCTGTCGAAGAAGAAGAAGAAGGGCGGTCGGAGGAGAAGCCAGCCACCGGCGCTGCTGCAACAGAAACCCAAATCGACGCCGATAAGTGCGATTTTCTCTCGTTCGTTCCGTTTTTTCATGTTAAGCCATCAAAAACACTTCTTGATGCAAGAAAACTAAAAAAAAAAGCCATAAACAGATGGTGGAGCTCAGCAGAGCTGCCACACCCGAAACCAAAAATGCTCAAGTGAACCCGAAATCCTCTCTCGTTCCTTTCGTTTCCCGACCCTAGGCTATCTAACATGTTTTTCGGTGCAGGGTAGTCGAAAGAAAGCTGCGACTGCGAGGAAGAAGCAATGAAGCTCGACGGAGCCACCGCATCAGAAAGCCAAAACCACCAGTAAGCTTCAAATTTTTTTTTTCTCGCCGATAGACACCCCTTAATCATTATTTAAATAGTTTTTATTAGGAACCGACGGAAAACGGCCTGACCGAGAGGAGGAACCACTGTAAAAGGAGGAACCGTTATAGAAGGAGGAACTGGCGGTAGAGCATGGCGGGGCTGCCATGTTGGAACCTTAAAACGACCTCCTCGTGAGCGTTTTGCCCATTTTGACCATTTTTCATGTATTTTTATGCAATTTTGACGTAAATATTGTTTTAACAGAAAAATCTAAAAAATTTAGGAACCAGTAACCGTCATGAAGCGTAGTAAAAAAGGTAGTATTCCAGACACCGACTTAGGGTAAGAATCCCTCACCTTTTTTTTTCTGTTCGGTAAAATTGAAGCTAAACTGATAAATAAACAAAAAATTTAGTTAATCTGTGGTTCTCTAATTGATAAAAGTATAAGTTGTTAATGAAGTAAGTAACTGGTCAGTTTGTGTTTGTTTGAGTCCTTAATTGTAGTTAATATTCCTACAGTTATTATTATATTATTTCGTGTACTATACTGTTTATTTTGATATGTTTGTTATAAATTCTACGACGGACACGGTAAGGCTCCCTATGCGTTTTGTCCATTATCCAGTCGTGTATTTAACATGTTTCTATCGGTATGATGCATTTTTATTTCATGTACTTACTTTTAAAATGTGAACTCATGTGTTGTGATATAGATATATAGGCCATTAGGGCTAAATAGTAAATGAAATAGAGCATATGCATAAATTAATTGTGTCAAATAAAAAGGGTTTATTGGGTGACTTGGGAAAGAGTGAATGAACTTGGTGCATAAGATAAATCCTACCGTGAACGTTACCCTCAGTCGAACGGGATTGAGAAGTCTAATACAAGAAAAAGTTGAAAATTATTTTGATTACATTTATACCGGACGATATAGTGAAGAAGTTGTATATTTTAAGTACCCATTACTATACGAGATATGAGAATGACCGTTTGATTAATAGAATGAATATTTAGTCAACGTTTAGTGGGGACCCATATGGACCCCAAGGACATCGATAGGCAAGTTAAAATGATAAAAGTGAATAAGATCGAAACTCATCTCTGGAGAATAATGAAAGGTTAATTATTGCATGTCTTTTAGAATACGTAATATAGATCACTATTATGATTCTTGTTTCCATAAATGACATTTAGGAATTTACAAGTGAGTTAAGAAAATTAACATTTTCAATTAAACGAGTTTTATTTAAAAATGAGCTCAATTAGTTATTTTACGATTTCTATAAATATTTGATTTTCCATATCAGTGGTAAGATATTGATATTTTTACTGAGGTAGTGTAGTTCACCATTTTAGATCAGGACGACCAAGACCGGTATTTTGAACAGTAAGAAAACTAGATAGAAGATTGTCTATCTGTTTTTCTAATTTCGAGCAGAGGTTGATCACATTAGTTTTCTTTATTATTCTTTTTCATTGATGTTCTTTAGAGGTATTTATGTACCCCTATTGAGCGTTTTTAAGCAAGCTGTGCAAGGAATGTAACCCTAAATTCTAATTAATTTAACTAATTTATAAATCTTCGTATTATTTTACTCCGCTGTTTTCGGATATTTACATATTTTATCATAATTTTTAAATTGCATAGAATATATATTTAATATTTTGTCATAGTAGTAAATATTATGTATTAAATAGGGATATTACAAAATTATACTTAATTATGACAAAATTTGTTGAGTATGCTCACAGATTTACTTCAAAATATTATTTTATAGTTAATAAAATTAATTTATTTAACTTTTATTCCCATAGTTGTAGCAATTAGAATTGGCTAACGTACCTTATATATGAGGTACAATGTCAAAAATGGTATGGAAAATTAACTTTTTTTTTTTTTTTGGGATAATTGCTTAAAAATCACATATAATACTTAAAGAAAAGACAAAGATATTCTTGAAAAAAAAAATTCTTTTTCTTTTGTTTTTGTTATTATTTCTAAATACTCACTCAATAAAATTATAGTTTCTTTAATTATTTAAATTTTAATTATCCTCTAATTTTCTTTTTCAATTTATTAGGAAAAAAGCCAGTTGCATTGCATCTTTGATCTTATCAACAGAGGCTTTGGATAATTATCGTAATAATATAATTCCAAAAAAAAAATAAATAATAACAAAAAAAAGAGTAATGAAGGAAGGGCACGTGCCGAAGAAATTTAAGGCACGAGCGACGGGGACACTCGTGAGTCTTGTGTGACAAGCTGTAGCTTCAGCTTTCCGTACTCTCTTAAATAAAATAAAATAAAATAAATTAGAAAATTTAAATATATATTTCAGGAAACTTAGAAAAGCTGCTCACGGCTCTTCACTTGCCTTTTTCTGTCATCTCTCTGAGCGTGTACAGTCTGTAATCAACATGTGTTGTTTACTTGCTTCTTGTTAATTATTACCTTACACTATTTTTTTACAGGGTAAATCAAATTGCTATTTACATCAAATTATAAATACATTTCTTACCTCTTTATTTACAAAATATATTATTATTATTATGTACTTTTTTTAATTATTCTTCTATTTTCTCTGTTATTTAAACCAGTTATGACAAAATATATAATATAAATTAATTCAATCTGCTGCTAATCCCTTTAAAATATTTCATGCGTGTAAATTATTGCATGATTAGATTTGCGACAAACTTTCAGACACTAAAAATCTTAATTTAATCACTTACTTATTTTTGCTTAATAACTTAGTTTTTATATTTTGTTACCGCAAAACTTATTAATTTGAACAAGTCCAATAACAGTAGAATGACTTTCATAATTACAAGCACTAGACTAAGTTTTTCCTTGTTAATTACAGTAGAATCAAACAAAGTTTTATATATGTCTATAATCCTCCTACTGAGGTTTCCCCTCTCTCCATGAGTTTTCTCCCATTCAGTAAGGGTTTCCATATTTCTTTTTCTCTCATCTTCTTTTCATCATATTCAATCTCTCCTACGGACTCTGTTGTTTCACTAGTCGTATCGTTGGGGAACTAATATGCATGCATGCTCCTAAGCTGCATGTGAAGGGGAAAAATAAAAAGCAAGTGTGTAGCTCTGACATCTTGGAACACGTAATATGGCAATTACATGCATCGGCATCAAAAGAAGATAATAAATTTCCAGTCAATACACAATTAAAACTTTTGGCAATTAAAGCAATTCATGCAAATAACGAGGAACTTTTATTATTTATCATAAGCAAGTGCTCAACTAATATTTAGAGGACATTGAAAGGTGTAGAAATTCGTTCATTTGCTCGTTTGAGCTAGAGGATAATAAGAAATGCATCTGTTGTATTTG